ATATAGATATAGATATAGATATAGATATAAAAATGCACAGCTCATAGTAGGTGTTGGGCACCGCACAAATCCCTGAGTTACAGAGATTTTTCTGGGTAAGCAATACCGTGGTCACTAGGAAAATTTCTTACAGCCCAAGTAGACGGAAATGCTGAGTTGGTAATTTACATTACACCCCTCCTTAAGATTCTGTATAAAAATGGAAAAGTTCTACTTTTAATTATATTCTTGCAGGTGTCAGAAAAAAAAAAACCAACCCAAACCCTCGACCAACTTATCATCTTCACAAGAAAATACTCTGAAACAGGCTGTTAACTGCACCAAGCGCCAGGAGGTCACGACGTAAAAGATCTATTTTCTTTTCTTCTCCTTTTTTTTTTTTTCTCCAGGAGAGAAAACAGTTTACAAAACAGAAAAAGGCTTGTTCAATGAAACAATCCGCTTTAGATCCAAGTGCAAAAGTCAGCCATGTGTACTAATTCTTAGTAATTATGATGCAAAATGAACTCCTTGGGGACTTGGAAGTCAAGGCTGGGCAATGGTTGGGCAAACCCAGGTGATGGTGACCCCTTCCAAGCCCTTTGTGTCACCGAACAACCCAAACCATCCAAGTACCTGCTCGGCCCTCTCTTTTTTTTTTAGGGATTACTGCTCTACTGTACTCACAGGGCTGAAATGGAAACCACGAAAAAGTAGCAGGGATCCCAGCGCAGAGCCCTCGCCAAAGCAACGAGTGCGCTCCCAGGAAACAAAAGCACCGATGAAGGAAAATCTAAACATCTGTAACAGCTGGAAATCAGAAGGGGAGAGCAGGCAGGTGATGGGGCAGGTGTCTTTGATAAAATTCATCTTAGCTGGCTGCCCCACTTTAGATTCTAACGCATCAGGCGCTCCTGTCTTCTCGCCTCCCACGTAAGCAATTACTACATTGTGAAATGAGGTAAAAACCCAAGACTGAAAATTTTCAGAAGCGTTCAACAGCGGCTTTCCTGTTTCCACATTGAAATTGCAGGTTTCGTGTTGGCTTAAGCGGGGACAAAACATCAGGCCAATAGGCTGAAAGGTATCAGGGAAAAGCCTGTCTTTGGCATATTTTACCCATATATTTACACCGTGAGAGAAAAAAATCTAGCCTTAAAAAACTAGGCACTACTTGTAATGAAGTCTCTGTGACTAGTCTGAATTGGGTTTAAAATTATTAAAAAAAACAAAAAAAGCCAAAGACCACCTGCGGAAAAGACAAGTTGTGACGGGTCTAGCTGGCACGAGACTCTGCCCTGAAGCGGGGCGCTCCGGTTAAAAGGAACCGCGAGGCGTTCTGCCACCGCACGTCTGCTGCTGTGACTTCACGCGGCATCTCTCTGCTGATACATATTTCAAACACCAAATAGGAAAAGCCGACGTTTGCCGCACGTTTAATATGCCTTGAACCACCTCTCCCTTCGAGCCGATCCCGAGTTCACAGGGAGCTGCTGGCAGAGAGCTCGCTCGCAGCGTTTCTCGTGAATGACAGGTCTCTGTGAAGAGTGCTTTTTGTACTGCGTTAAAAAAATTCACAGCAGTCTGTAAAAATAAAAACTCGAGATCAAATGACATCTTAAATGAAAATTTTGCGGGATTCTCTATGGCTGCTGTGTTTATAAGACGTTTTACTAGCGTTAGGGGCAAATACCTTTTACTCTGCGAGTGCTTTATTGCATTTCTCCTTCACTTACAGCACACTTTTTATTTAGGGCTTTAGAAATCCACATTCTTCTCTCCCTCCCCTTCTTTTTTTTTCCTCCCCTGAACGCTCCTAAAGTTACAGAACAAGGGGATCCTACCTGGCAGTCTACAACAGGTCAGTGATCAAACAGAGGGAGCAGTGAGACAGCAGCCAAATCCTGCCCCATCTCCTGAGAATTACCGAAAGCCGGGGCTTCGCAGCCTGCACCGCGACCGAGCCGCTGCACCCCGGGGCTCAGCTCATCGCCGAACGCTCTCTGCCAGCACAAATCTCTGCAGCTACCCAGGCTGAGACGCGAGTATTCTTGTTTCTAAAGTTGCTGCTCGCCGTAGTTTTCGACGCAAGGTAGAAGCTGCTTGAAAATGTGACCTCATCTGTCTTATGACAGCGGGAACAAAGACAGATTGAAAATATACCCACATTGCTCTGCCCCGGTGATCAAAGCTGGTTTAAATAAACAGTGTTCTTTATCTGTAAAGTGCACTGGTCTTTGAACAACTATTCATTTTACCTAAAGTATTTACATCTGCTTGAGCAAAAGCAATACAGCAGATAAAGCAAGCTGTAATACGAACAGACAGAACTAGAGAAACCCGTGAAGCGTTATCATTTACCCAGTTGTTCATTAAGATACTACTTTGTGCAAGCAAAACACTCTGAAAAACTTCGTGGGTTTTAAATACAGCCTACACCCAGGAGCGCATTATGTACCGAGTTAACATTACACAGCCTACGTCTGCTAGGAACTCAAAGAAGCATGAGTTGTTTCTGCCATTTCAAAAAGCCAGTATCACTGCAAAAAGTGAAAATTAGTGGGTGCAATAACACATCAGGAGAGCAGTGACGTGGCGGAGTGGGTGCCACAAAGGAGTAACTCGTTATTAACTCTGGGAAAGGTTAGCGTGGATCCTCTTTAGCCCGTAAGCCGCAGCCAACGTGACTAAAGAGACATTCCTTAGTAAGGAAACAAACTCCAAGCTGCGAGGATTACACAGCGCGGGGAAAAGGCACGATGCACACGAGCATTTACCCTCCTGTCAAGCCCGGCTGGCCTAGCTAGGCCAGAACTGAGCCGCTCTAACGGAGTCCGCTCCCGAACCGCATCTGTGGTCAGACAGAAGCCTCAGTCCACGGAGTTCCTGCGACACGTCGCGCGTTCAGGAACTTCGCAGGAAGGAAATTAAAAGGTACTCACGCAGCCACCAGCAAGGATTTCTGCAGCCAGTGGGACGGAGCCGTCTTTAGACATAAATTTGTCTCTCACAAAATCGTTAACCTTAAAAGGAAAAAAAAAAAATGGTGAAAGCTGATAAATTAAAAGGTTGGAGAAAACACTCGTCAGCTGCAAATTCTGCAAATGCAAATGCATCCATGCAGCTACCGAACTAACCGGTATCAAATGAATCTTAATGCTTTATATGAAATATTATAAAGTTGGCTCGCTTTTTCTTTCTAGCAAAGACCCGCAGAATGATTCAAATATTTAGTACTGAAAAAAGACAACAATCACTTATTAAATAATACAACTATCGCCTGAAAATCAACAATAAAGTTATTTAAGATTTTAGAAATGCTCACTACACTTACAAATTCAAATATAATTTCAAATTAATATCGGAATAACTTTTAACACAAGAGTAATTCAATTAATAGCGTTAATTACTTTTTGTTTAATGCATACTACTAGATTTGGTGAATAATAGCTTACAAGCAAAACATTACAACTGGGTTACAATAAGAAATTCTTCAGTGCCTTAAAACCACTCAAGAAATAACCAAATGATAGAAGTCAAATATTTAGGGGAAAAAAATGGATGCAAACAAGTTCCCTTCTTTCCAGCGCTGCACCACACGCTCGTGTTAGCTCTGTTGTGCTAGAATTAAGCACCCAGGAGCCACGTGGAGACACGAACCCCAAAGCCCTCCAACTCCAATCAGCAACTATTCACTTTCGCTCCGAAATGAAATCCGAGGCCTGCGCTCCTTAGGAACAAGCAGACGAGCTGAGGGAGTGGAACAAGCTTGTTATAGGCTGGAGAGACTCCAGACATAAGTTTTTGGTACGATTCTGAAAAAGCACACGTGTCTGTCTGTCTGCGTGCCACTTGTAATGCTGGCAGGTCAGATATAAAGAGGTTTTTGTAATGAAGTTTATAGCGAGCAATAATGATGGAATACACTCTACCACGTTATCATAAATTAAGGATAAGAATCCTTAACGTGCTAATTGCAATTAGGTGGACTTTGCAACGTGGAGAAATGTGAAAAGAATGCATTTGCAAACTCACAGTAAGTTTTATGGCCTTTTCTGGTGCTACTCCCAAGAGCTGCGGTAACAGACCTGTAACATGGAAACAGAGAATTCAATGCATCGAGTAACTTGGTATTAACTAAACAAATCAACAAATATATGGAGAGATCACCACCTAGAAACAAGCAATTTTTACAGCAATTTTGTGTTATTATATTTAATGAGAGTACTTAAACATTCCATTTCGAGAACAAACTCGGTGCTACCACTTCAAGTGCTACCAACTGCCTACACGTATTTGTTTCTTAGCTTTTTTAAATCCATGATACAACACTAATAACGTTTGCCAACTACATTTCAGTACTCTGTCCTAAACGAACACCTATTTTCTGCATCATCACCCCAAAATTAAGACTCTCCGATTAATTTTGCAAGACGCACGACGTACCCATTTCAAAAATCACGCGCGCAGGACCTTTTCACTGGCAAACCCCAATGCCGTTAGACGGCAGGACCCAAGGGAATAGGAATCAAAATACTGAAAAACATCCAAACACGTACGGCCGCATTCTTGAGCTCCTTGCCCAGCCAACCCACCAGTTCGTAAAACAAAGGGAGTTATGCTGCTTCCTTCCCAGGTGTGGAATCTCCTATTCCCTGGCTTTTCTTAGAAGTGATGGGCTACAGAACTGGAAGTGGGAATCTCTGACTGCGGGCTTCATGTGCCTGAAGTCAACAGTGGATATTTGATAAACTTGGGGACAACACGACCTAAAAATACGCAAAAGCTAATTCAGCCGGGTAAGCCTGGGGCTAGAACGGCGTTGCCAGCGTTCATCAGCCCAACGCAACGGGGACACCACCGAGACACGCGAGCAAATGACCCCAGCCAGAGCTCCTGGGGCACACCTCGCTCTGCTCGGCAGCTCAGGCAGCACCTTTGGCCACTTTCTACAAAGCCTGATGTTTTCACCTCTCCAAGAGTTTATTTTTGGGGAAAAAGACAACAACTGAGGTTCCACCTCTAAGAGTTAACTTGTTGAAAAGCATTTTCGCCCCAAAGAGCTAAGCATCAGACTAACAAAGAGAAAAATGTATGTGCTTTGGATTAGTGTATTTGTCCATCCTGCTACCAGCCACCAGCTTTCCTTGTTACTACTGATGCTCTTGACAGGGAAATGATTTTTGGCAAATGATTTTGGCTTGTGGTAGCAGGAGGGCCAGTCGTTATTTCTGTGCTAATGCCTTTAAAATTTTGCACCTGCATTAGCATTTCTGGTTTTCAAGTGTCCAAAAGAGTAATTAATATGGCTGATGGATGTATCCACCTAACTGTTACTCAACTACATTGAATTATGATCACATGGCTCCATATTCAGACGAAGGAATCCAGTAACACTAAGTTCATATACAGATGTTTAAACAAAAAAAAAGATCCTGCAGAGTAAGCTAAAGTTCGAAATACGAATTTCTTAAACAGTTGTAGCTGCATAGGTGAGTTGAATCCAGACTTCCAAGAAAAATCATTAAGACAGTAATTAAATATCACATTTTCTTCAGCACTGTGAAAAAACCACAAAGATATACAATGAATAGGATTTTTCCAGTTTTCGCCTTATGCGGAAAAAAATTATCTTTGGAAACGCGATGATATTTACATCTTGCTGTAGGACACGTGTGGCTTTGCACAGACCTTACAGCTAACGAATCTGTCTGTTCAGAGACTTTAAAAACATTCCATTTACTTCACAAGCACGCTGCCTGATCCTAAACCTAATCCGGTAGAATTACGGCCAGTCCGTAACCAGATACATAATTACAAAAGAACCCGGAGATCATGAATTTTAAAATCACACACACATATATTGCTGCACCTAAGCTATACATAACATGACTCTGAAGTCATATTCTATCAAATAAAATGCAGAAAAAGATACTAAAAATATTAAGAGATAAAATAAGAAAAAAATGTCCAGCTGGAGAACTGTATAATCTCCAGTTCTGGATGCAACATAAGCAGGACAAATCAAACTGATTTTCACTGGGCTGAGCTGAAGATTGCCTTTTAACCATTTTTCAGCTCCTAAGACTTTGCATTCGTCAAGGTACTTGTGAAATTGCAGGAAAAACATGTTTATCTTGGCACAAGGTATTTTTTTCCCCATCTGGTCCATTCCTTTTGCACTCGAATCTGAATGGGACTGTTACAACTCAAAACTTTCCATGAAAGTTCCGTGTAGAAGAGAAAGATTAAATAGAAGAGGTAGAAGTTACAAAAAAAGAAGAAAAAAACCCAAAGCCCACCAACAAAAAAAACCCCACCCAAACCCAACCAAAAACCCAGAGCGTTTTTCTCTTCCTCTCTACTTCACTCATTATTTTATACTATCAAAGTGCCTTTTAAGTTTAATTACCGGCAATTGTGTACACTGACTGCAAGATACCATGCAGCATTCTGAAAAAATAGCAGAATTAATTTTAATGCTACATTTTATAGCCTGGCCAGACACTAGGCAGGCCTTTCTGTCTCCAGCAGCTGAGGAAGGCAGAGGGATTCTCTTTGTTCTCGTACCTACGTAATAAAGCTCCCTGTACGTTACGACCATCAAAACTAAATCCTCTTTTCTTTATAGTTTTGATGGGAGCCCTGAAACACTGTCGGAAGGTTTCTGAATGCGATGAAGACGGTAAGTTTTGGAAGAAAGCAAGCTCATCAAGGGACACAGAGGAAAAACGTCATTTTTCTGTTGGGGTTATCCTGACGCGCTGGGAGTTTTCCCAGCATTAGCAGATCAGCGATGTGACACACACACAGATGGAGGACAAGCTCAGAAATGTCTGTAACAGCAGAGAATAACATTTTGCACACAGGGAGCCTGCTCGTGCAGCACGCAGCAAACATGTTATTCAACCCATTTTTACGTATCCGAGGCTTTTTAGTAGCAATTACCACGTACCGCTTCCTATCTGACACCCTGCCATGGAAGGACTTTATGGGAATGTGAAGGTGTGGGCGAGAAAGCACCGAGAGCTGCGTTCTGTTTGTGATTATCACAGAGTTACTCCCTGAAAGAGTCCAAACATATTGTCTCCAAATATATAAGCAATAGCTTATCCAGCCCAGCTGCGGTGAGGGCAACAAATTAAAAAAAAATATAATAAAGAAAATCTTACTTGGCCAAAGTATTTTTTCAGATGTCTAAGTGCGAAACTTCAGTTTCACACTGTGTAACCCATGAGATTTTCCCTTCGTATCAGAAAATGCCACTGACTGAAGGAATTGTTTCTGGGTCTAGGTAAAGTATTCGAAACCATTTGGATATCGGACAGGCAGGTGGGCACAGAACACTGCCGAGTTTTTCTCTTACAGGATTCACACAAAAAATTGGAAAATAAACCCCCAGCCGCCATTCAAGCCCTGGTCTCTCAGATGGGAAACGGGGCAGCTCTTGAAAAAGGTTTCTTCCACAGAACGTTGGGGAGCAGGAGGAGGCTTGTACTTCCATTCCACAAAAATAGTACTTTGGTGCATCCTTCCCGAGGAAAGCTTCTGCCATGGTCTTGTCCCATTAGCCTGGGAGTCCACCAGTAATAATGAAGCTGGATGACGAAAGAACGATTAAAATCTAAGATTAGACAGTCTCTGGAGTCACTGCAGGGCGAGAAGCACCATCAGAAGAAATAGAACTAACAACTCCTGAACGGTTAACGATGGCGGATGACAGAGTCTTCCGCAGCACCTCCTGTCTTTTCCATCCTCCAGGAGACCTGGCATTCACAGAACAGCTACTGAACATTTTCAGGAGCTACATTTTCTCTCCGGTACTGGAAATCTCCCACAAAATTTCTATCAAGTACAGGTGAAACGATCTCCCCGCGAAGCAGTGAAGCGTTCCGCGACTCATCGGGTGGACTTCTGATTAAAACAATATTAAGAAACGCAGATGACCTCAGTCAAGAGATGTTGACAAATCACAGCTTCCAAAACGATTCTTAGATTTGCATGTACATAAATACCGGCGAGTTTCTAAATATGTATTTCAGATATAAATGTAGACACAACAGCAAATTACAGGTGTGTGAGATGAGTATTCTTTTCAGCCATGCTGAGAAAGAGACAGATGAAAAATTTATCTCAGACATAATGATTCTGTGATTCCAAGGAATGAATCTAACAAGACAGCATTCAGATAATGCAAATTATAAAGATTCTACAGAGGTTTACATCATGTTCTGTTTGTTTGGTTTTCTTTAAAATCAAAGCATCTTCTCGGTGGAAACACTGATTATCCTTAGAACCAAACTGACATTAAACAAAATTCAGTGCTCTCTTTATATCCACAAGATGGTGTAATTTATCCTTATCTGAGATGGTGGTTAAGAACATGGTGGTTTTACCCTTTTCAAGTTTGGAATAAAATAATGATACAAAAAAGAAACAAACCGGTTCACTTCACTGGATGGAAATATGTGCCTTGTATTAAAAATACCAACTGAAACGGCTGAGTTCAGGGTAGGGTTTGTAATTCCTGCTTGATTTCTTGCAACGCATCACAACAAAGAGACCACTGCTCCCAATGTTCCTTCTGTAATTTTTAAAAGGTTTGGCATCACTATTCAGCCAAACAGGAGAGCTCTACCACTTCCAGAGGGTACAAAACCCCACGTTTCCTTAACTCTGAATGCCCCACGGTGTAAGAAAGAAGACCAGTTACTGAGGAGCAGCAAAAAGTAACACACTCTGTACTTTGTCTTACCTAGTGTAGTATAACACCACAACAAGATGATTCTTGCTCTAAGTTTACTGCATTAATTCAGGTCAATATACTAGTCTACAAAATGTTCCTTTCAAATTTTCTTGTCCTCTCAAACTTAACTGGAAGCCTTCATTGTGCATCCAGCTGCTCAACCTCCTTCGACATCATCTCCTTAGAAAGCGCGGAACAGCACAAATTTACAGAACTGCACAGAGGGAGCTCCGTATTTTTAAAGGGTTTTCTCTCTTTGACTCTTTAAAAAGAGAAGATAAATGAGGGTGTCTTTTAAGTAGAGGATCTGCAGAAACGCAGGTCTCAATTCGCCTCTGAAATGATGGTGTTCCTTGCCATCACACAATTCCTACTATATAATAATCCAGAAACCAGATTATTGCTCTGGGTTTAGAAGTTCAGCTCCACCAAGCTGTCTGAGATTACACTAGTCGCTACTCCTTGGAAAATTGTCAAGTAGTAAAGGGGATGGGGAATGGAAGGACAAGCTATGCTCATGAAGGTTCCTGAAGTTCCCCAATTTGGCAAAGAAAAGATTACTCCAAAAACAGGACAAGCAACTGGAGTTACAAATATGCAATTATGACTTTTCTGAGGGTTTTTTTTGCCAGGTGAAAAAAAAAAAAAAAATCAATGTCCTTCAGAAAAAAAATCAATGTGCTTCAGAGTTTCAATAAGACAGAAGCAGGTAATAGTGGAATTTCTGCTTTTGCAGGATCCTGGAAGCAGAGATGCGTTTGCATTCTTCAGCCAATAACTGGGGACTTTTTATGATCCTGATTGCTGTAAATCTTTACAAAATAGAAACCACGTCAATATTCTGTGTTACATTATTAGGCCTACGCAAAAAATTGCCTCGAATTCAGTCAATAATAACAGAGCCTTCCCATCTCCAACTGTGCTGAAGTAATTACAAAGTCTGTATTTTGCAGAGGAGCTACTCAGCCAGCCTCCAGTAAGGCAGCTCATACGTTAGAGAGTGCACAGGTACCACAGCATTTAGGCTCAAAGCTGTTTCACAGGTTGTCTGATAAAATCTTGGGGTTCTTTTGGGTGCATAACGTTATTTTACCGAAATCCTCCCTTCCTCATTCCTGACTCGACTGCTTTTAGCAAGTCATTTCTGTCACTGCAATATTCTTACTTTCAAAAGTTAAAAAAAGTTTCTGAGACAGCCAAAAATGAAATAAACAACGCAAGTTTCAAACCCTCCCCAACGAATATGGCAGAGGGGTGTAAGAGGGCTCAGGAACTGGAATACCAGAAATATAACTTGCTTTAACCTGTGACAGAGAACTGCAGTCTCAAGCAGTAGATCACAACTCTTTATGACGACTTCTGCGTTACCTGAACTTACCCCATTGATGCCGTAAATGAGACAAGGACAAAATAAAAAAAAACCCCCACCATCTAACTAACTGCCAAAGATACTCAAAGTGAGCATGATTCACATCCTGAACACAGTAAACGAGCTTTTGGAGCTTTCTCCATTGACTACAAAGGGAGCTTGGAGCAGGTAACTTCGTAACTCGGGTGTATTAGTTACGTAGATAAAGCCAAGTGGGTCGAAACCCAGCTCACTGCTCTGACTGACTCAACGGTGACAAGCCAAGCAGAGGTACACGCAACACTCGACGAAGATTACTCCCAGTGATTCATGAAATACACGCAACTGGTTCAGAGAGACCTTCTTGTCACAAAGGGTATCACAGAAAGCGACCAGGTTAATGACACGCTACCGTATTTTCTCTCTGGTTTTATGCTTTTAAACAGAATGAAAACAGGTAAGAAAGAACAATGAAACTAAAACCCAAAAATGGATGATCTAACTTCTTGTCAAACAGGTCAAAACATTTCTGGTACTAAGGACTGCTAAGGAAATGAGAACTTTACTAACGGTGTATTTTTGCTGTAGGAAATTGCTGTTGTTGCCCTACTGCAGATGAGGGAGGAAAGGATAGAGAAGTCCTACAGGAATGTTCTCATCACAACGAGGTTTCGATTAGCAAGCACTTTGCAAACCTTCACCTACAGGGGAGAAGCAAAAGCACAAACCAGGAAAAATCGAAGCCTTAACAAAAAAAGATTTAAAAATCCAGAATTCCTGGTAGTAACTTATTAGTATATATCCCCCCCTTTTAAACTTACCTCTATAAAGCCCAAAGAACCCTTCATAACGTAGCACTTTCTTGAAGCAATCAAAGCTGTTCTTATACATAAGTTCTCCCACAAAAGAGCCTGTAGAGCGTTGGTTTTGCATTCGAGTTTTTACCAGATCGATTGGGTAGACTGCAGTGGCTCCAACAGCTGCAAAGAAAAAACAAGCCGTAAGAAAACGTGATTCTGCATTTTCACCGTTTGACCACAACCGTCATCTTCCACACTTACATCTTGAGTATCAGTTGTATCTTTTTTCCTCCATGATCCATTCTGGATACACTAAACTACCTCCTAGAGTTTTAACTAGAAGCACTTCCCAGTCCCGCCTCATGATTAACCTGATTCTCCTGAAATTGGTTTTGCCAAAAGAGAGAGCAACACCACCTGCAAACTCCAATGGCTTGTAAACTCCCCAACTCCTGTAGATGAGACAACCCCCTTCCCCTTCCACCTTACAGTCGTTCCTTCCCTGAGACACGGCTTCAAGGGAAAGACAGAGAAGCCTACCACACTTACATGAAAGGCAGAAGGGGAAGAAAGGCAGCGGAAGAGAAATACTCAACAGTGAAGATGAATGTTCTTTTGCTCAGCCATGACTAACCTCCAGCAACCGAGCCGAGGGCAAACCTGTACGCCGATTCTGCGATCTGGATGAGAATAGGTCGAGACACATCGCCTGGAGCTTTCTGTCAAGGCAGGATTTAAAACAAAAGGAAAGGCAAGAAAAAATAATCAGAACATCGTATTTCATGAGAGAACTTCTTGTCTTCTTTTCTATTTCTTTTTTCTTTTCTATTTCCAAGTGCCATACAATGGAGCCTCCTCAGACTGGAACAGCAAAGACACACTGATACTACAACAAAGATACACAACTCTAAAATCAATGTGCATAGGAGGGCATGCATATTGCACCTTAAGTCATTAATTTTCTGCAGGTAAAAGAACTCTAGTTTGTAATTTCTTCTACCACTGCCAAAACCAGGTATACCTATTAAGTCTCAGGCTATCAAAACAAACGCTCATACGTATTAGCTAAAGGAAAATAAGGTTTCCTAAAGAACCCCCAAAACTTCACTTTGCTTACGGTCTTGTGCTAGGTACAACCCAAGGAAAAATAAATTTCAGAAGCGTTCCAGACCTACCATTGCTATCTAATGAAAGAAAAGAATTCGGAGAACAGAAGTTCTGCAAGGGCGTCAAGCCTTCTATCACCTTTGTAATCCTTTTTTATCCTTTTACTAAAAAGGATAAAATAAAGACACAGAAATATTTTTTCCTGAAAATATTTTTAGGTTTTAGCTAATATTCCAATGCACTTGGGAGTTGGCCAGAAAATAAATTGAAAGTATTGAGGTAACTGAAAATCTTCTCAGTCTCAGCATCAAGCAGCTGACGTTAAAAAGGAATTGGATGGAAAAACGAATAAATAGGACACCTGCAGAAGAAATGGTAAGATTGAAGCAGGTTCTTGTCTCTTACAAGGGCACAAATCATACTAGCAAAGACAGTGGCCCCAAAGCAAAAATTGACAAAGCTGCTCCTTTCTGCACCACATTTTGGGCTACATTTTACCGCCACCTATTGTAACCTCAGGTCACTTGATACTGAATCCCACGCAAACGCTTTTAACTCCTTGAGGAGTCTTCTAGGAATAGATGGTGAGCTTTTGGGATCCGGCTCTTCTGAATTCATCCCAGCGCCGTCAACATTTAGTCACCGCTCAAACAAACAGAAAACCACCACCCCAGATCCTGTCTCAGAGTGGTGGTGGGGGTGTTCACACACAGGAGAGGGAGGAGAAGAAGAAAGAGAAGTAAAAGAGAGACATGTGTACACACACACACAGAAGTCTGGCTTATGGCCTCGCAGTCCTAAAAATGTAGCCTGCATCAACTCATTGTGGTCAAACTGGCGTCTCTGCACAGACCCAGAGCAGGGAAAAAAAAAAACCCCAAACCCACAACCAAAAAAACCCTTAGTCTCACAAGACAGAAAGTTAAGGCTGCCTTAAAATAGAGACAAACAGCAACAGAGGGCTGGTTTGAAATCTATCTGCACAGAAACTTGTGTCCATGAAAATATCAAACGTGCTAAAACAACACAAAAACCAAAAGTTCAACCTATTTGATACTTAAAGAAGTCTCCTGTTCCTTTTTGCCTCAAAAGATCATTTGCTATCAAAAGTCACTATCCTTTGCTTTTTGGAAAGGCAGAGCATTCATACTTTTACTGAAACTCTAACAGCAGACTAAATATAACCTCTCTGAGTATAATACTCTGAAGCCAGGAACAGGCACGTGTGTTCAGGAGAAGGGTTGCCGATTAAGAGGCTAGACGCTGTATTTACCATCCATATTCAAAGCAGGAAGTCTTCTTTCCTCATTAATAAGAACAGAGAGAGCAACAGAATCACAAAACACAAATACTTTAATTAGGTATACACCTAATATTTACTGAATGGCTGGATGACACTCACAGACGTTTTATCTTGCCAAGGTAAATTACAGTTAACCTGTCAAAATAAAGCCTACGAGAAAGGGGGAAAAGAGATGAGATGGAGAGAAAATGACCCAGGTTAAAAATAAATTCTGACAAGAAGGAACTCCTCACAGATGTAACAGAACACGAGGGAAAAGCTACTTTGCTGACGACACAGAAGGAGGCTGGCTAGCTCTTTACCTGGCTCTGGAAACAGGTAACAGCACCGTGCCGGCTTCCGTCCTTACCTGCCTCTGAGCCTCAGCCAGGTTGTACGGCAACGTCCCTTCCTCGAGAGGGGCAATTCTTTCGATATCGGCCAACGTCATGCGCCTGAGGAAATTAATTCAGCTTAGCCTTTGCTTACAGACGGGTTTTCAGATCACATGAAGTTACCTGCACCCTTCTGCTCCTCCCCCCCACCACCTCCCACTTCTTCCAAGAAGGAGAAAGGATGGATAACTCTCCACTTACCCCCGTGGCTCATACAGGTCTGCTAACTGAAACAAGATGTCAACTTCCATGGGTGTAACCTGACCAAATTTCTGAGCTGCCAGAACAAACTCCTCTGCAACAGAATAAAAACACAGAGAAGAAAAACTAATCAAACCACAACAAACAACCCAGAGCTGCTTTATATTTTAGAATGAAGTAGAAGATACTGGTGGGGGAGGGAGGCGAGGGAATAAAAGTGCCCCACCACAAGTGTGTTCCTGCCATGACATAAGTGTATGTTTTAAACGGTCTATCCTTCACGCAAATAAGTACAACTCTCTGGTCTTAGAGCTTAGTGCTATCAGCAGGATTTAGGATATTTGACATACGGTATCGATCAGTTGCAGGTCGGGGGGGAAAAAGAAAAAATCAAATAAAAAGCAAACAGAAAAAAAACGCAGGAGTCAAGAGATGTGGAACTTTCATGCGTAGTCCCAGTAGGCCACATTAATGAAACTCTGGCGTTGCACGGGGAAATCTCTATAAAAGTGGTTAGATCGAGCAGATAACATCTTGTTCCAAGCTTGTAGATCAGCTTACTGTGCCGCCAATACAAGTTTATGGAATTCTTCAACTACCCTTGAAGGTCACTTTAATAGGCTGCCAATTTGGCAGGAGTCCTAGGAAGTTTTTTAAACTTTTAAAATATCCTGACATGCTTTCCTCGCCCTGCCCCCACCGCCGGGGTTTACTAGGACCTTTTTCTCATTGAAAGAAAATGAAAAACCTGGAGGGTGGACTCCAACAGGAGGGTACAAAAGCGAGGGGCATATCAAGGAACACTAACGAGGCAGGCTGCGTCCCCCTCCCGTTGATTTAAAAGCACCCAGACGAGGTCTTTCCCTCCACCCACCCCAACCGAACGCCCAAGGAAACTTCCCGACTGCAAACATTTCTACCAACCCTTAGTGACTTCCACGTCTTTTCTATTTCCAGCCAGAGTACTGTAGATCTTCCTAATGAGCTCCATGTTGTTAAGGAGAGAGTTAAATCCATTAAAATAGGAAAAGCTGACCTGATGGGAAGTGGTACCTCCAGCAGCCTAGAGTGGAGACAGTAAAAGAAGCAAAGAGAAAGGAGGCGGTTACAAGACCAAGAAAAAAAATCTTGAAATAGAGGTTTCCAAATAATGTTATTTTACAACAGCACCAGTAGCACAGGCTTGCTTTTTTTAACAAAAAAAAAAACCTGCAAAAGAAAGAAAACTATGAAAGATTCTTATGTTACTGAAACTAATCATGACCAGAATGCTAAAACTCTCCCCACCCTACAAACCTAAACAAATACATATGCAGGATTATAACAACATAACCAGTAGTAATTTACAAAGTTCAAGTTTCAGTACTGCTTCGGTTGGAAACGTTTCCTAAGTTGGCTTACTGCTAGTAATGAGGAAATCTACTTCTACATGTAAAGTATATTATGGTACAGAAAAATTCGACAAAATCAAAACATATTCTGAAGAAGGTCAACTGAAACATTTCAGTTCGGAGGCATTTCAAGTCAGAAAACCAGCAGTAAGCTCTCAGGCTCATATCGGGCAGTCAAACAAAATGGGAACAATAAGGCTCAAGCAGTTACTCATTCTCCAACGAGAACTGAGCCCAAACCTTACTTTAAAGGGGCACTGGGTCTGCACACAGAAAAATTATTGGCTCGATTCCCTATTTGAAGTATAAGATTGAATATCAGGCGAATTTCAGAAAACAATGAATAAGATTGCCAAAATTTAATTGACCTTGAGGGAGAATCAAAAACCTTATACTTTATGAGAGAGTCCATGGCCCAGGGAAGCTGTAACAAGACTGGGGAGGGAACTGAGGAAGAAAGTATCAGATCTCACTGTCAGTCCCTACGTCTCCTGGCTACGCTTTCTGCTGTGCGCGCCTTCCAATGCTCTGGCCAGAGTTTGCAGTTCCCATCACTTCACACATCTCTCTGGATTTTTTTCTCGCAAGTCAAAGCAGAACAGATTTCTTTAAACATGGATATGCCCAGACTTTGGATTACTTGGAAAGTGCTCATACAAGCTTCCAAGATTAGAAACTGTGGCCAAAACCAACGTACTTTTATTCTTCTCCGTCAGTTAAACTGCAGAACTCTAATGTTTAATTTGGTTTATGCACTTCAAGATGAAGAAAAGCATATACTCAAGTGGAACGACTATCAGTTAATACATAGTGAACGTCCTTGGGTGATGTTCCAGTTCATACATTGTTCCAGGTGCTTGGAAGTCACACTCAGGAGCTTAGAATTGACATTACAGAGTCAGTCCTTAGAGCTTGACTTCCTAGGTAGGATGCAATGGCCTCCTGACATTTTTGACACGATCTGCTACAATGGAATGACTGGAAATAGTCAGGCAACTCTGCATTTGCAGGCCAGTACTAAGGCCCAACTACCTGGTTTATCTTGTGACTTAGAAAACCTTGAGGATTCCTCAGTAAGGGTTAACTTCTGTGTGTGTAGATACTAACTGCTAAACTTAAAAACTTGCATCCATAAGCTGGACTACACGTCACATACAGCCGTTGAGGTCTGTTAAAAAGGAATCTCGCGCCTGTATCCCAGGTCTTTTGCCAGTTTGGGTACCAGAACTACTCACAGCTACTAGACATTCTTCTACAAACGGTGTCAGCATGTGTGGCCGGATAGTGACCATAATGTCCCTGAAGTCCATAGCTGTGACTCTTCCGGCTTGAGCATTGTCTCTCTGCACAAAAGCTTGTTTTGCGTGTTCTAACTGTATTTCCTGAAAACATACAGGAAAGGGGGAAAAAAAAAAAAGTTAGGTTCAAAATCATCATCTTAATAGTTAGATTTTACATAACGCAGTCCTACAAGGTATCTCCTAGTTAACAAAACATGAGTACATGTAATCTAATTTAATTGGATACTCTATATGTAACTTTCATAATCAGTTTTTCAGCAAACGGAATCAGAGCAAAAGCATGTCAGCAATACTAAGCGAGTCCTGCAGCGCACCACGACGCTATCCTCGTATTTCCATTGCGCTTGCAAACATACACCTTGGAAGTCGTATCAAGCCAAGACTCAGGCCAGTCAAGAATCCCCAGCATGATGGATCTGTGGTGAATCTGATCTGCTCTAAGTCGAGATTTCTCTCACAGCAGCGTTCAAGGGAGCTGACAGCAAAGGGTGAAAGGCAGATTCAGCCCTGCTCACCCAGCTCACGCCACGGCCACCGATACACGCTGCTGCTCAAACCACGCCTGCCTTCTCATTCCAGCCTCCCAACCTCTCCAATTTTACCTGATTTCTCATTAAGACACTGTACCCTGACCTGAAAGGTAGGATGAAAACCTCTTAATATATCAGGATGAAGGAGAAAAAGGTGGAGGGGAGGGGGAAGGACTGATCAATGCTTCAACGCTGCGTTTCACTCCCAGGACTATTCAGAAATTTCTGCTTTTGATCAGAAACGCTTGTGGGGGTTATAATTGGAAGCGTTACAATTTCGGTTCTGTCACGTTTCCTCTACGTTACAGCCCCCCGTGTGGAGGTGTTACAACTCTGCAGTAACACTCATTCTGGCTGGATGTAGCCATGTAAGCTCTTGCTTCACTCCACTTGTGACTCTAGGTTCAACAGAAACTTGGAAGCAAGCAATTCGGGGAGGTTTACGAGGGGAGGAGCACAAGAACACAAAAAACTTTGTCAGCTTGATGCAGGCAGCTACTCCGCAGGCCGAGAGCTCTGAAGAGGGTGTATAATAACTCTCCTACCCCTAAATACTCACCACCTGGCAGATGGAAACATAGGAACACATAAACAAAAATATTTGTCGTTAAGTGGCCAAGAAAAAATACACTGAAATGAGCAGAAGGATTATATGGGAAACAGTGAACGTTGCTGTTCTTCTCTCATTCAATTTGTTTTAAGCACTGAAGCTGCTGGCAGGATTGTTCTGAACTGCAGGAAAAAACCTGGGCGCCACTTGCAGGAGCCCCGTCTGTTGCCATCTGTGCACAGCCGCCAGCA